CGAGTTTCCTTCGAGGTCGCTCGATCAATGATTATTACAGTTGTTATAATTAATTATTATTTGAGCATTATTATATAATAATTATTTTCATAAAGTATATTTATTCTATTATTTTGTGATAATATTATATAAATTTGATAAATCTAGTTTTCAATAATATAATTATTTACTTTTCACTCTATTTGCACCCCCTACCTTTTCATCCAAACAACAATTTATCCCTCTACTTACACCCCCACCAATTTGCATCCCCTGCAATTCACTCATCAACTTGTACCCCTCGAATTTGCACCTCTTGTTGCCAAACGTTAAACTAGATATATTAGTTCATGATTCATGATATAATATATCAACAAGTTGATATATTAAAAAGGTAAGATGATTCAACGAAAAAAAAAAAGGTAAGATCAAAATATTAATTCATGATTCATGATAGCAACAAAGCTTCTATTCAGGGCCCCGGGCCCGCTCGTTAAAACTTTCGGGGATCGGTGAACTTGGCCCAAAGCTAATTCGTGGAAGGATTAATATCTTATTTTGGCCCGAACTATGACCATATAATCAATTTTAGCTCGTGGTTTTAGAAATTAATATCATGACCTCAACTATGCATCATATAGACTCAATTGGCCCTACACATGGTTTGACCGTCAATTTGGACGGTCAACACCATTGACTGTTAGTCAACACGACATGTCATTGCCTAGTCGACCTAAAAAGCATTAAAAATTTTAAATTCAAATTATTTTTCTAATTACTATTATTTATCATTTTCAAATTAACCATAAAATAAAATTTAAAAAATATAAAATAAAATTTATGTATTATCTTTAGGGACATTTGAAAATTATAAATTTAAAAAATATAATATAAATTTTATGTTTTGGAAATTTAAACAATCTGTAATAATTTGATAATTTTTGGTTAATTTATAAAATTCATCATTTTCAAATAATATTTGGTTAATTTATTTTATGTTTTTTATTTTTTGATTAATTTGATAATGATAAGTAATAAAAATTAGGAAAATAATTTGAATTAGAAAAATTATTTTTTGTTTTATGATTTTTATATTTTCTAAATTTATAAAATTTAATTTGTTAATTTATAAAATTTATCATTTTCAAATGTCCCAAAAGATAAAACATCAAATTTATTTTATATTTTTAAAATTTTATTTTTTGGTTAATTTGAAAATGATAAATAATAGAAATTAGAAAAATAATTTAATTTTGAATTTTTTAATGATATTTAGGCTGATGAGGCAATGATGTGGCGTGTTAACCATCCAAATTGACGGTCAAACCATGTGTCGGGCCAATTGAGTCTATATGTAAAATATTTGAGGCCAGGATGTTAATTTATAAAACCACGTGCCAAAATTAATATATAATCATAATTCATATCGGTATTTACCGTTGGTAGAATTATGTTCTTTACTCACACTAGTCTTCATTCCCGCGCTCTGCGCCGGGACTTGTGGTAAATTCGTGTAATTGTGCAGTCAATGTTACTGATAAGGGTGTCTTGTGTGTTCGAAATACGTCGTTAATATGATTAGTGTATAATTCATGCAATTTTGCTTAATTACATGTTTGAGTAATAGATTTGAAGAATAAAAGTTTGCCAATTTGGTGGCAGTCTACATATTAGAATCAAAATTGTATACTTTTAATTCAATTTGTTTTTTAAAAGGCAACACTTAGAATTGATCTGCTTGTTTTTAAAATGCCACAAAGGCACAAATAATAGGCCAGTTGTCCTAGGCTTCCTATGAAGCAGAAAAAATCTCTGAATCCAACATGAATCCGGGCCTGGCAATCAAATAGAATGACCATTTGCATGTCGTTTCGTGAATGAACAGCTTTGGTCTCCATTTTTTTCATTTTGCTGGATTAATTTATGGATATGTAAAAATTTGGATGATGAACATGAGAAGAACATCAAGAACTAAACAGTTCTGCATAACAAAGATGGTTGCATCTGGGTTATCCTCATGCCTATGTTTTAGGCAAAACAACAGACTGATAATGCAAGTAGTTGATAATTGCTACAAAATGCCAAGCTATTACTTCACTTGGTTCCTTTATCTGAGCGAATCCTACAATAGGCAAAACATGTATCTCATTAAACTCGTGTATTGGAAGGCTGAATAACGTGGCTAAGTTCATTTCTAAAATGTTAATTAGATTACTAAAAAACACTCCCTCAACTATGAATCCATGAATAGCGCACCTGTCATGTCTGCTAACTGTTCACTCGATCTGTGCAAATGCCTTCAAAAGCTTAAGCAAAGACAATATTTTTGGTGTATTTCTTTGGGATTCCATCAGTGCTAGTTATCAGAAAACGCAGGCCTTCTGGTGATCTCACCCTTGAAACAGCAACATACAACTGGACATGGCTAAATACAGGCTCTGGCAGAAGACAATAAATAAATCAGCATGTTAAAATGATGTGGAGGTAGGTAGCCAACAGTTGTGATTATGATTACTGAGACTAAAGCACAACTTTTGATCACAAAACCAAAAAGCTGGACTGAGCATTTTCTTTTTGGCGTCACAAAGAAAATAATTCAGAGCACTGCATATGGTGGTCCTCAAATTACTGGACGACTCTTTCAGTGAGAACATAAATAGTAGCATGGAAGGCATTGCTTCACAGCAACAACCTAGCAGGCAAGGCAACAACCTATCAGTGCACAGTAGCAACTTCGCACATTCAGATTAAACTTAAGGTCATCTGAGCAAATTACCAAAGCATTAGGAACACAACACTTAGTCTAGACTGTCTGAAACTCTATTTACCAGCTGTTGACATCGCAAATATGAGGAAAGAAGGAGAAGAGTAAGATTATGCCAACAGTTGTGCTGCGCCAAGAACAGAGGATTCCTCTGCGACTTCACTTGTTGACCCAAAGCAATGAAACCCTTGTAAAACACATACTTTCTCTTTCACTCGTGTGAATCTGATTTGCTTTGATGTGCGACACAGAGGGTGAACTCCCCTACGGATCCAACAATCAACCAAGACCTACTGAAATAGAGAACAAAATCGAATAGGGGATAAAGAAATAACATATTAAAGAAAGAGAATACATATAAACAAAGCACCTAGGATTACAGAAAGTGCTTTTGAAATTCCAAAATTTCCAGCGCTGGAGGGATGACTTCTTGCAAAAGCCTTCTGATTGCGAAATCTTTACCGACATCTTCCTGAAAAAGAAAACTCACCAGAGAGAAAAAAATTACCTCAAGGAAAAATGAAACACTGGGCATCTACCTCTCCTCTGAATCGTCTCCTTACCTCTTGAATCCTCTAGTTGATTGGATGACAGATAATCAACTCTTGCAACTCCAAACCCATCCTTCAAAGCTAGTACGTATGTACGGCAAAATAAGGGAAAACCTTGAACCAGAGGAAAACCAGCCAAATAAGGAAGTGCTTCGAGATTTGGAAGAAAATAAAACATTTGGAAGATCGGGGATAAAGGTGAGGATTTGAGTCGAACATGGTGAGAGAGTTCAAGCAACAGAAAGTACATAAAGATTAAACGTGATGAAAGAATAACAAAATCTCAATTAGGAAAAACAGAGAAAACAGACCTTGGGGATCTGGGTCTCATCCGATTCCTCTCTCACCCTCCCAAACTCGCCAGCTGACTGCACCAAGCTCTATTGGTTTCGAAAAGGAGAAGAGAGCCAAAAGCATAGAGAAAACAAAAGGTGATCAAATAACAAACCAAAATTATGAGAGACAAAGAAGGAGCAATCACGTGAAACCAGTATAGAACCTACGTATCATGATCTTCTTCGAATCCTCAATCCCTCTTCAAATAACTCCAGATAGCTCAAGATTCACTCCAAGATCCTCAAGTCCCTCTTTTGATCGCTCTTACTGTCCGCTTTAAGAAAGCCAAGGCCGATTTTTTTGGTTTCCTCTCTGATCCCAGGTGCTCGCATAACAAATTCGAAAGTGAGAAGGAGAGAGAGAATCCGATTGAGGTGAGAGCATAAAGAGGTTCAGAAAAGAGATGAGACTTGAGTTGAGAGTAACATGTTGGGTAAAAGAAATAGTGAGATTGAGGAGGTAGGTAGAACATGTGGTGGAGAAAAAAAGCTGTGCTTTTCCCTCTTCTTTGATATATCCAACTCAGAACGTCTTTCTCCTTTCTCTGCAAGGATAAGTAACTCCCACCATCAAATCACCCAGAAAGAGAAAAGTCTCCCAGAGCTCCAATAAATTTTTTTCTCTCCGCGTCCTCCAATCCAATCAAGCAAACCCATCACTGCTTCCAACCCCAAGACTGCTTTGCGAATTAACCAGGGCCATCCCGTTTCCCTGTGACCAACGCGCGTCTTCTCCCAGGGCCTAGCAGGCCACGCAGTGCAGCACAATCCGTCACATCCCTCTGGCACCTCAAGCAACCCATCACTCCTCCCCCTTCAAGGGTCTCTGCGACGAACACAGAGAGACAGAGAACCACACACAACTTCCTGGCAACGCACAATATATTGTCAGATGAATAGTAAAATTAGGTCTAAATGAGCAGTAAAACGTATCTAGGTGTACAGTAAAACGTGAGTGGGTGTACAGTAATCGGTGTTTTGCGCTATTATACTTTTAATGTCTTCTTTGCAACAAGAATATTCCACGGCGGATTGTCCAAAGTCGTGCAAACATCCTTGCTGGAATTGGAGTTAACCCCCGAAACGGCCAAAACTACTATTAAGTTTCCGCCACCGAACACAAATAAAGACACTCTACTCCCATCCACCTGCCGTCCGATCCGAACCAGAGCTAGCTTCCGCCATTCCTCTCTCCCTACATATATATATATATATATATATATATATATATATATATATATATATATATATATATATATATATATATATATATATATATATATATATATATATATATATATATATTTCCATATAGACCGAAAGCAGTAATTCAGTAAATCTTATAACTTAGCCAATAAGGTGCGCGCGGCCATGGATGAACGAGTGAAGGTTCATGGAATGGCCAAGAGTCCATACTACTGGAGAGTGGCATGGACCCTGAAGCTCAAAGGTGTGCCCTTCGAGTACATAGAAGAAGACCTCTCCAGCAAAAGCCAAGTGCTTCTTCGGTACAACCCCGTCTACGGTAAGGTCCCTGTCCTCGTCCATGGCGGGAAACCCATTTGTGAGTCCTCTGCGATCATGGAGTACATAGACGAGACGTGGTCTGATCATGGCGCCCCTTTGATGCCTGGTCGCCCTTACGATCGAGCCATGGCTCGGTTCTGGACCAAGTTTGCGGACGACAAGGTAATTTGATCGAGCTTGTGGTTTAGTACTTCACATACTATTTACATTTTTCAACACGTATAATCAGCGGCAGAACACAGAAGAGCACTAGGCCGCATTTCATTACAAAACTAGTGTGGGACCGGCCTTTTGGCCGGAGGAATGTGAGGTATGAAATTTGATAATGTAATGAGGTATATAGTTTATTATTGTATTGTTTTTGTGGGAAACACGTGATAAAAATAGTGAATTTTAGTAGGAAATAAACATGAATAATGCAATGAATCAAAAATCAGCCTTATGAACCAAAATCAAGTACTTGTTACCTTGTGAAACAATATTGTTTCTGGTAATATGATGAGGCGGAGTAAGTTTTATAGAAACCAAATTCCAGAAAATCGAATAAAAAATCGCATATCCCGCCGGTTTTCGGGAAATGAGCATCTCACAATCGTTGCTAGCTTTTACTCGGCTAGTTGGCCGATTAATTTGCTTTATAAAACTTTCATCTTGTCAGCATTGTGCTTTCTGGTTTTTTGCCAAGCCATGATAGAATATAAAGAAATCAACAATGAACAACACTATTTGGGATAGGAACCACCGTTCCTGTCCCCTAGAAAATGGTGGTAAACACGGACTCACCTGCCAAACTGGTTTGGATTGAGATTTTTATCGGGTATCAGGGAACCAAGTGATTATAAATTAGACTTGATCAAACGGGCCAAAACTTGAAATTCAGCCTGTTTGACCGACCCATGCCAAACTCTAATTATTCTTTACTTTTAAACTTTCTATTTGATAATAAAAAATAATGAAAGAAAATAGATGATTGCAATTCGCCATTTGCACATCACTGATTCGGGAATAAAACTATAGAATTTCGAAAGGAAACAAAAAATATTTAGTATCGTTTTAATGTTAAAAATAACCAAATAGATCTTTCTGTTTAGTTTTTTACTAACAAATACCAAACGATTCCCTATAATATACACTATAATTTAATCATTATGATATCAAATAATTATATAATATATATTTGAAATAATAAAAATTGGACTAATTCGGTTGGTCGAGGTTGAACCATTGAATAATTTTAAAATACATTATATTTTAGCCACTAAGATATAAAATAATAGCATAATATATATTATGTTAGAGAAAATATCTTGTTTTAGAATGACAAACCCATGATGTTCATTTGTTTTACTTGATGGGCAAATCTCGTGTAGGTCAGACCCATTTAACTCGTTTATTTTATGATTAGCGGTTAGCCCATTAGAATCCATGCATTAGTTTATTGTTAAATTTTTTTCGTTTTAGCAATAAAAAATAATATTATTTTTGCCTTTTCATATATATTTTACCACCATGGAGAAATAAAAGGACTTAAAGTAAAAAATTAACACTCTTGGACCCGTTTAAATCCGCATGTGTACGGTAAGTTGGCCCGTTCCACAGAGAAAAAAGAAAAAAATTGACACTCCCTACTCTACCCTTCCTACAAACACTCCTGGAGCAGGGGATTTGAAATGGGGGAAGAGTTTTTTCCTCTCTGCGATTATATGCTTTTAATTTAAAAAGATACAACAAATGTACTTAGTGTGATTGGTTATGATCTTTGCTTTTCTTTAAAGTGGTCATGGTTCGAATCCTAATAAGTGTCTTTTTAATGAATAAAAAAAAGTAATTGTGAAGACCAAAATGTCCTTCCTACTTTCACTCTGGATGCAGGAAATTTGAAATGGGGCTTCAAGTTTTCTCATTTGGCCTTTATTTATTGTGTAGATTAGAACCGTATAAAAACATTATAGTTTTTTTTACAATATAAATTGTACACGACGGTATTTTAATTTAGCGAATGCATCAATAATGGAGTCCACATCCATACCAATAGTATACATTGTTTTAAATAAAATACTTTAGCAATCGGCTAGAAATTCATCTTTCATTTTGTTGCGAAATCAGTTTTCATATGTTTCATTGTTGAAAAGGTTCTCCTTGTAGTAGTTGTTGGTACGGGCAGCGTCAACACTAGACAAATCAATCGTGCATTGTGTGTCCATACCTATATCCACTACGAACATACCTCATATTTCTTATAGTCTTTTACGTTTTAGACTTTTAGAATTTTAGATTTCATTATTTTTTTAGAAAAATACTCTTTGGAGCTAGAATTTCTAGGCTAAATTTATAGTAGTGATTTGAATATGTTAATCTGAATCATTTTTCTAGTTACACCCAATCTTATTAAAAAATAATACTAGGCCGAATAACTAAAAGCGTGCATTGTGTGTGTTCATACCTATATCTATCCACCCCTTGGATCCGCCACAGCGTATAATACTCTAGAGATACAAGTTACAACATAAACAATCGTTCATGTCGTGCTCAACCAAGATCCAAAAATTGTCTGGCTAATAATAAGCACTTTCCCTCCTATTAATTACTTGTTGACTTTAGTTTTCATTGTATATACATTCTTTCCCTAGAAAATCTCATGCCTGACTCTCATATTAATTGATACCTTACTGAAAAAGTGATGGCATGTAAGAAAAACCTCTAGGTTTCATTCGTTGTCTATCGAAGTTTTTCCAAATGTCATATATTGTGCGTTTGGGAAATCTCCAATATATAATTGAGAGTTTGTGCAAAATTTAAGTGTATTAAATAAGATTTCGTTGCATTGGGTCGTACAAAAGAGTAACATGAGATCGTTTTTGAATTTTACCTAACCATAACAACGCAAATTTCACAGAGAATTGGAAGAAGAAAAAGTATCTTCTTCCTTCCTTCCTTCTTCTCATTTATATTCAGAGTTCATTACACGACAAAGAGCAGCTCAGCTGGGTAAAAGGAATGTAACAGTAAAATCGAATAACAGAAAAGATAAATGACATCATGATGACCGTTGGAGTAGCTCGTGCTCCTCACGTGACTGGTGCCTTCCTTCGTTCTGGACTTGGAACAGAAGAAAAAACAGGGGTTTCTTCTTGTATTGCTAATACCCCCCCCCCCCCCCCCCCCCCCGCAAGCTGGAGGGCAAATATTCAGCACTCCAAGCTTGGAGAGAAGAGCAGAGAATGGAGCAGGAGAGAGTGGTTTCGTAAGGATGTCAGCCAGTTGATGGTGAGAAGGAACGTGGAGGATCTTAATCACTTGAGCAAGTAACTTCTCACGAACTAAATGGCAGTCTAATTCAATATGTTTGGTGCGCTCATGGAAAGTCTGGTTCTCTGCGATATAGATAGCAGATTGATTGTCGCAGTAAAGGGAAACAGGCTGAGAATGAGGCACCTGAAAGTCATGGAGAAGATGAAGTAGCCACTGGATTTCACAAGTAGTGTGAGCAAGAGCATGGTACTCTGCTTCACATGAAGAACGAGAAATAGTAGATTGCTTCTTGGATTTCCAGGACACTAATGAACTCCCAAGAAAAACACTGTAACCAGTAATAGATCGACGAGTATCTGGACAAGACCCCCAATCTGAATCACTGAAAGCCTTGAAGTGCAGTGAAGAATTGGATGGGAAGAACAGACCAGTACCAGGACTCCTTTTGATATAACGAAGGATACGAGTAACAGCCTTCAAATGAGTAGCAGTAGGATGACACATAAATTGACTAACCTGCTGAGTGGCAAAACTTATATCAGGACGCGTAGTAGTCAAATAAATCAACTTTCCAACCATACTTCTATAAGCTGTGGCATCCACAAAATCAGAACTATCATCCATCTTCAAGTGCACTTTGTAATCCATTGGAGTCGTAACTGGTTTAGCACCAAGCTGCCCTGCAGCATCAAGTATCTCTAAAGCATACTTACGCTGAGATAGATGAATCCCCTTTGGACTCCTGGCCACTTCAAGGCCAAGGAAATATTTCAGAATTCCCAGATCCTTAATACTGAAAGCCTGATGCAAATGAGCTTTAATGCGATTGATTTCAACCAAATCATTGCCTCCTATAATGAGATCATCGACATAAACCAATATAGCAGTATAGGAATCAGCAGTAGCTCTAGTAAACAAAGAATGATCAGATTTGCTCTGTTGATAACCAAGGGTGAACAAACTGTCAGAAAGCTTGGAAAACCATTGGCGAGAGGCCTGTTTAAGACCATAGAGAGCCTTGTTGAGCTTGCAAACAGGATTAGGGATATTTGGTGGGCAAGAAACACCTGGAGGAAGCTTCATATAGACATCTTCTGCAAGGTCTCCGTGAAGAAATGCGTTGTTTATATCTAGCTGATGAAGATGCCAGTTTCTGATAGAAGCAATAGCTAGAAATAAACGAACAGTTGTCATTTTCACAACTGGAGCAAAAGTATCCATATAATCAATACCCTCTCGCTGGGTGTAACCCTTAGCAACCAAGCGAGCCTTGAACCTTTCAATCTCACCTGTTGACAAGTATTTAATTCGATAGACCCATTTGCATCCTATGGCAACAGCACCATCAGGAAGAGAAACAATATCCCAAGTTCCATTATTCTCAAGGGCTGTAACCTCATTTTGCATAGCGCTAGGTTCCATTCATTTGATTGAGCTGCCTCATGGTAGGATTCTGGTTCCTTGTGAGCAGAAATAGTTAGCACAAAATGCTTATGAGATGGAGTGAGGTGATCATAAGAAATATAGGTATGGATTGGGTACCTCTTACTGGAAGTGGGAGTTGGACACCATGTGGAAGCAAGTAATTGGGGCCTGCAGTTAACCAATTGCTCACACTCAAAATCCTGCAGATGTGAAGGAGGTTTGATGACACGAGGTGGAAGAACTCGATGAGATGATGAGGGAACACTAGAACTGGTGGATAGTGGGACAGGAGGAATGACAGGGGAAGGTGGAGTTTCAGGTGGAGCCTCATCATCTGAACTAAGAGCAGGAGATATGGGGGAGAATGATGGAACATAGGTAGGATCATCATCAAACTGGACTGGAACAGAAGGAATAGCAACAGATGAAGGCGATGCAGGCAGAATGGCTGGATCAAAAGGAAAGACAGATTCATGAAAATGAACATCACGAGA